TTTTCCAGCTTCTAGTATCCACCTACATTCCTTGACTCTTTTTCTCACATTTTTCCAACCTCTACTCTATCACAATGGCTCCTATTCCCTCTCTGAAGCTCCTACCCCCTTATTTTGAGGACACCTGTGATTAGATTGGCCCCCCCCAAAGTAATCCAGTATAGTCTCCCTATCTCAAGATGCATAAAAAAATCACACCAAGGGCCTCCCCTGGTGGCGCAGCGGTTGAGCGCTGGGCTGCGAAGCTGCTGCAGCCTCTGCAGTGCCGGTTCGATCCCCGGCCACCAGCGAGGGTCCCACATGGCGTGCAGACCTCTCCTGCTGCCCGCTGCTCCCCTCAGCAGTGTATTTCAGTCCTTCTGCCTGTTCTGCTCCCCGCTCTGGCTCTGGTGAATTCTCTCACCCTCCCGCGCTTCTCGACTGTACCCAGTGCTTGTATAAATAAATAAATAAATAAATAAATAAATAAATCTTTTTAAAAAAAATCACACCAAGTTCTTTTTGCCATATAACATATAATTGTTGATTGCTAATTAAACCTATTATTACAGGTTTAATCAGCTGTTCTGTTTTCTTCTCAAGTCAGCTTTCTAATTCGTATCTTTCTGTGAATTTGTCCTTTCACCCAAGCAGTCTAGTATGTTGGCCAAAAGTAAACTATAACATCACCTTCCAAATATTTCTTTTTCTTTAGGGTCAGTAATGATGCCTCCTCTTAATTTTTGATTTTAAACATTTTTGTTTTCTCTTTTTTAAGTCAGTTTAGCTAAAGGTTAGCCATTTTGTTAACCTTCTCAAAGAACCAACTTTAGTATCATTGATCTCTATTTTTCTGCTTTCTATTATATTGATTTAGTCCCTAGTCTCTATTATTTTCTTTCTTTTGCTTACTTTGTGTTTACTTTGCTCTTTTTCATTTTCCTAAAGTGTGTTGCTTAATTTCCAAATATTTGTGTTTTCCCAATTTCTTCCAGTAGTGGATCTTTAATGTGTTGTAGTTAGAGAATATACTTTGTATGATTTCAGACTCTTAAGAACTTTTGAGACATGTTCCAAATCTTTGGGCCCTCTAATATCAACATGATAGATTGCCTTACTTTGCTTAAGTTTGCTTTCAAATTTCACTTTCTAAGTTTGACTAATACAGTATTAAATTGCACCTATCCTTACTACCATCCTCTAGCACTTCCAATCACCCCTTACCCTGCTATATTTTTCCTTTTTCATAGCACTCATAACCTTTACTTACCATATAAATCACTGAGCTCTATGAAGGAATCATTGTTTTATATATTAATGTATCCCAGGAATCTAGAATAGTGCCTGGATCATAATAGTTACTGAATTAATTTTTTTAGTATATGCATTAGTATATTCATCCAGCTTGGTCATATGTAGCTGAAATCTCTCATTATATAGTATAGCATTTCATTATATAAAGCTTAAAATAGTTTTATAACGCTTTCCTTTTAGGTGCACATTTGCATTTTTGCTAGTTTCAAGCTATTTTAAATATCACTGATCTAAACATTTTTGTTGTTGTTGTACCCTAGTACACACATGCCCCAATTTTTCTGTCATCTATGTATGTGAACACATACACACATAATTTGTGTGTTGTATTGTGAGCATGTAATTCAACATTAGTATGTGCTCTGTGACCTTACATTCCTACCAGCAGTGTATGAGGGTTCCATTTATCCTGCAATCTCACTGATACGGTATTAGCATTTTTAAATTTTTTTGCTAATATGGTAGTTTTCTGTTAGTAACTGATTCTCTTACTAATTAGCATTTTCCTGATTTCTAATATGATAGAGCACATTTGCATATATTTACTGGCCATGTGTATTTCCTCTTTTGTGAGGTAATAAATCTTTCCCCACTTTCCTAATGGTTGTGTCCTTTATAAGTTAAATCTGCAACAAATATTTTTTCTAATTCTGTGCCTTTTCTGTCCCTTCATAATTTTCTTTCTTTTTTTAAAGATTTATTTATGCACACAAGAGCTGGGGTACAGGCCAGAGATTCAGGGGGGTGAGAGGATTCACCAGAGACAGAGCGGGGAACAGAACAGGCAGATTGGCTGAAATACGCTGCTGAGGGGAGCAGCGGGCAATACAGGAGAGGTCTGCTTCGCCATGTGGGTTTCTCCCTGGCCATCCTGGGATCGAACTTGTGCTGCAGAAACTGCGGATTGATTCATAGCACGGTGCTTAACCCCTTGTGCCACCAGGGAGGCCCCCCCTTTATGATATTTTTGATGATGCGTTTGTAATTTTAATGTAGTTGAATTTGTCAGTATTTTCCTTTGTGGTGAGCACTTTTGGAGTCTTAAGAAATCCTTCCATAAATACTCTTATATCTTGCTGGTGGAAATGTAGAATAGTACAACTCCTACAAAATGTAATTTAGCAATATGTACAAAAATTACATAAACATTTATCCTTTGTGTGAGCAATGCTACCTCTTGGTAGCATTTCAAAGATAGACTGGAAAAAAACATAAAATCCTGTATGCAGAAGACTTTGTCAGGACATTATTCAAAACAAAAGACTAGAGACAGTATCAATGTGCATCACTAGGAGAGTAGTTGAATAAACTGTTATTTCCACACAATAAATTACTATGCAGCTAGGAGAGGGAAAGAGAAGAGCTCTATACATTAATTTGGAGATATTTTCAGGATGTTTTATTAAGTATAAAAAATAAATTACAGAACCGTGTTTACCATAAATTACCTTTTATTTAGGAGAGGGGAATAACTAATTAGTTATATGCATAAATATATCTGGGTGGTGTGTGTGTCCATTTGCTTATATTTTCGAAAAAGAAATAGTGGAACCATAAAACCAAAGCCTAATAAAAATCATTGTTTATGGGGAAGGAAAGGATGAAGGAGACAGAGATGAAAGTAAGACTTCTGTGAAGGTACTATATAACAGTTTTCACTTTAGAGCCATATAAGTATTTTTATAGTTTTAAAGGTTTAGTCAAAAGAGGGAAATAATAGATCCCTTAAATTCATAAACAACCTGAAACAAATGAACCTAATTATAAAGTGGGTAGCATAACCATACAGAGAAAACAAAATTATTTTAAAACAATATTTGAACATTCCTAGTGGAATAGATTTTAAAGACAAAAGTAATTGTAAAGAAACATAAAACTGTATTTAGTAGTTTATTGTTGATGGACATATTTAGCATTGTTATTGACATTTTAAAAGCCTATAAATATATTGTAAAAAAAAACTGACAGATAATTTTGCTGTTATCATTAGGAACCAATATTTTAAGCATGTATATAAAGAGATACAAATCTAAAATCAAAGAGTCTGAGAAATTTCTTGTAATAATAAATTTGAAGTAGAAATATCAGTATGGATTCATGATTTATAATTCTCTTTAAAAAAAAATCCCTAGCCTTGTCCAACTGAAATGGCCCAGAAACAGCAGCAACTCAATAGCAGTGAGTACACCTAACAACACACTGTGGATTCCAAATATCATTTCCCACCAAAAGGAGCAGGGAGTCCTTTAGAAATAGGCCAGGTTTGAGTCAGGAGATGTGCAGGATAAGTTTGGGACATCTTGCTGGGAAGAAATACAGGAACCTTTTTGAAGGGGTTCTCACTGGTCCTACATTGGGTAATTTGACCACCAAAAAGAATAACTACATTTTATTGAAACTTATCAAATATATGAAAATACATGATTTCACAATTACACTAAAAATAATTGTTGGTCACCTTTGGACATCTCTAAGGTACCAACTTATAACTACATTGTTGATTTTAAATAATTGGGGAAAAATCCAAGTTTATCCTGCCTTTCCTGTATGAGCTATGTATAGGAAAACCAAATAATTGATGACGGTAAGTTCATTATAGAATTATAGAAAGTAAATGCAAAAGAAATAATAGAATCAGGGCAACTCCTTTTTACAATTCTTAATAAATTGATAGGTCTAGGCAGTGGTCATCAAGGGATATAAAACTCGTTAAGTGAATAGGAAAATTTCATAACAGAGGGATCAGACTAATATCACCTGAATCCACTAATCAATTTCAGCATCATTAAAATATTCTGTGCCATATGATGTGATGCAGTAGGACGTACAAATCTTATTTATGAAGGGTTTTTTCCTAAAAATACTGAACTTGAATCTTATTAAACCTCTAAATCAGCACTATCCAGTACAACTTTCTATAATGGTGATAAATGGTCTGTAATCTGTATGATACCCACTTGCCACACATGACTGTTGAACACTTCAGATGTTACTAGTTTAACTGAGGAACTATTATTTTAAAAGTTAATTTAAATAGATATATGTGACTAGTGTCTATTGTATTAGATAACATATAGGTCTAGATTTAACTGCCAGTTTATAAGAAATAGAACTGAGGAACAAATTAAACAATACTAAGAACAACCAATCAAATCATTTGTTCTAAAAGCAAATGATGTGGTTTCTTTAATAAATCAGTGGGATGGGGGAAAAATAGATTTGAGGGGTGGGAAAGAGGGACATTAGAATAAGAGGCTTAAGATATCAAACAGCCAAAGGCTGTTTTAGATCCCTAATTAAACAACCAAATTTAAAAAGATATCTTTGAGATAATCAGGGCCACTTGAACATGAACTGGTATTAAATGATACTAAGGAATTACTAATTTTGTGAAGTGGGATAATGCCATACTAGTTACATTTTTTAAATGTCCTTATCATTTAGATGAGCATGTACTTGTATGGCCCTGAAAGTGGACATCTTCTTAAATTGTGTACCCTAGATGCCTCACTTGCCTCACTATATTGTTCCTGCTTAAGAGGAACAATAATAAAATAGCTATAGATGATTGTCATTTGTCACAGGTTATTAAGTTCTTCCCCAGCAGAATTTCTATATCTGAGATCCAAGATTTAATTTTTATTGATTTGTCAAGGATTGTATTGGTAGGCTTTGTAGAACTTCCCTATCTCTTTGTCTTGATCCAGATGAACCCCAAAAGAAGAACAAAGGTGATCCCATGAACAACCTGGAAAATTTTTACCAAGAGATGATAATGAAAAAACGTCTTGAAGAGTTCCAACTTATGAGAGGTGAACCCTTTGCTTCCCACTCACTGGTCTCAGCTACATCAGTGGGTGATAGTGGCACAGCTGAGAACCCGTCATTACTCCAGGACAAGGGAATACAGGCAGCACAGGGTAAAGGTCCCAGTCTCCATGTGGCCAAAGTTATTGATAATTCACCTGAGCAGTGTTGGACTGGGCCTAAGAAGCTGACGCAGCCAATAGAATTTGTCCCCGAAGATGAGATCCAGAGAAATCGTTTATCAGAGGAAGAGATCCGAAAAATTCCTATGTTTTCTTCATATAATCCAGGGGAACCAAACAAGGTATAGGCGAAACCAAGTAAAAAATGGGTTGTTTTCATTTTTATTTACCTCTACCTAAAGTAATACTTTTAAACTAGCTTTGATTATACCAAAGAATCATGACATAAGCATAGTGATTGTGTTTTTTCTTAACTTTGACTATTCAGTTTCTGCGTAGTATATAAGTAGCATATTTCCTGTAATGTTCTTTGTGGTTTTCTAATGTCGTTGGAATTTTAAAGAAATCTTGACGTGATCCTAGTATATATGCTCTAGAAACCCCAATTTGAAGGAAAAGTAACCTCCAGTTTCCTAGACTGGGAATAAAACAAGTAGTATTCATAGGACCACCATGTCTGGTAGTCTTGGTACTTCGGAACTGGTCAATACTTAGCCCCCTGTTTGTAGAATTTACTGTTAGCACATGAATTTTCTCTTCAGAATGCTCTGTCTCACTTTCATGTGACATGTGATTTAGGTTGCTGGCAACTAAGCACAAAGTGAAAACATAAGGCCTGTAAGCCTCGAGAAATTGACAAATATCTAAGTAAAGTTGTAAGTAATATTTGTTTTATTGATCAGATTATTATTTCATATTCATGGTATATGTTATATTTAGAATGGAAAACTTCATTAACATATCACTCAAAGATGCAACACAAGTACCTAGATCATAAACTTAGTTGTGTCTAATTTGAAAAAAAAGGCAAAAAAAAACCCACAAAAATTAATGTTACCTTATAGCTATCCCTGAATTTTTTTTTCTTTAAAGGCATTGTACATGACGGATACTGAAGCAATTTCCATCGAGTGACTATATTTCTAATATATACTTGCTGTTATTCAAGGGTAGCTGGATTTCTTTAAAAATATATTATTAAATATTACTAATATAAACAGCTATGGAGAATAATATAGCAAACCAGCTTTATAGCCAACCCACCATCTTTTTTAATTCTTTATAGTTTCCATATTTGTTTAATTTAAAAAACAGTAAAGCCTTATAAAGACACCCGAAGCCTTCCTTATATCCCTTAACAATTCCATCTGCCTTTCTCCTTTCCAGAGGAAATCACTATCTTGAATTTGCAATTTATTATTCCCATGCATATTTTTGTGTTTTTACTACATATTTATATATTTATAGTTTTACATATTTTAAAACTATATAGTTGATATACTCTATAGATCCTTCTACAACTTGCTTTTATGACTGAATATACGTAATGTTTTTGAAATTTACTTCTAATATATAAGAAACAATACACTATTCTATTGTAGAAATATACTGTAATTAATTTAGCCATTCTCCTGGAGACTTTTTCCTTTCTGTTTTTTGCCATTACAATTTTTCAGCAAACCTTATAGTTCATACTCCTGTTGCACATGTACAAGAGTTTCTCTAGGATACTTTTTCAAACTCTAGGTTATAATTAGTAGGTCACAACCAGCAATTTTTAAAAACGAAACGAAACATCAAACTGCATTCCTTAGAGTAAGGGAAATTACTGTTTCTTGAAACGTGTGTGTGTGTGTGTGTGTGTGTGTTTTATGTAATGTGTGTGGGGGCCAAAATATAGAATGCACTTCTTCCTGTGGATCTCAGTGAAAAAAAATTGGGAATATGTTGCTCCATTACAGTGATTCTCAATGTACACTGGGATCATCTAGAAGGCTTGTTAAGACACAGATTGCTAAGATCCACCCCCAGAATTTTTATTCAGTGTATCTGGAATACAGTTTGGGAATTTGCATTTTCAATAATTCCCAGGAAATGATGCTGCTGTTGGTCTGAGAGTGACATTTTAAGAAGCACTGTTGTTGATTACATACCTAGGAGTGGAATTATTGTGATAGTAGGCTTTGTTATCTCAACTTTCAGTGAACAGGCTTTCAGAGATCTCTTTCAACATCCTTGCCAAACCTTTATAGTACTAGACTTCTAATTTTTGCAAGTATAAAATGTTTGAAAGGTATCTCATTGTTTTAATTTGCATGTTCCTGATTTCCAGGAAAATGCAATGTACTTATATATTCATTAGCCTTTCAAGAACCTTCTGAATTTCATTTCTTTGCCTATTATTTGGCTATTTACTTTTTCACATTACTTATAGAGATTATTTAGCAAATATATTTAGCAAATATATTCTCCCAGTGGATAGTATCCTTTAGAAGTTGTTTCTGATGTCTTTTGTTAAGATTTAGACATACATGATTTCAGAATGTTCCCCCTTACCTCACACCTTAATCACCTTATCAACAGATCTTCAATATGCTAACTACATTTTAGGGCTCAGACCATTTAAGGCCTTTTTTAAAGAAACCCAAAGAAAACAGAGGAAACAAAGACATTAGAGGAAATGAAAATCTCCAGATGTTAGGGCTAATGTTAAACATAGCTTGCCTCCTGGCCATATTAACATAAAACCTTGGGGCCTCCCTGCTGGCACAAAGGGTTAAGTCTCAGCACTGTGAAGCAATTGGCAGCCACTGCATCACTAGTTCGATCCCTGGCCAGGAGCTAACCCACATGGCACAGCAGACCTCTCCTGTCTTGCCTGCTGCTCCCCTCAGCAGTGTATTTCAGTGGATCCACCTGTTTTGCTTCCCACCCTATCTCTGGTGAATTTTCTCAATCCTGACACCCACTCCCACACCTCTGGCCTACACCCCAGCTCTTGTATGCATAAATAAATCTTTAAAAAAACATAAAACCTCACACTAATCTCCTGTTTTGTATCTCAGTTTAATCTTACCTTATACATCATGTTTGCTGTTCAGCAATAAGGAAATTATTAGGCAATTAATCTGAAGAAACAAAACAAGCTTCAGAACTCAACTCAGATATGATGCAGGTTGTTGAATTATCACATATTTTAATTTAATTTAATTATTATTTATACACTTTTTACATCCTCATTCATCTTCCTCTCAGGTTAATCCCCACAAGATTACCACCACAGAGGCAACTGTGAACCATCACCATAGTCTCTTGTGCACTTCTCTCCCATGTTTTGGTCCCGCTTCCTCCCTCTCCCCAAACAAATGTCTCTGATTTATAGTTTGCCTGCTATTTTTGTCTTTTTCCCTCCTGATCCCTTGTTTGTTTTCCCTGTGTTCCTCCTATAAGTGACACCACCCAATATTTTTCTCTTTCCTTCTGACTTATTTCACAGAATATAATCCTTTCGAGCTCCATCCAAATTGCTGTGAATGACATCAGTTTATCTTTTTTGATTGCTGAATAGTATTCCATGGTAGCACATATTTTTAAAATAACTAGATGAATTTGGTACAGAGTCTATTAAAAATAGTATACAACATGCAAAAATAGATTGGTAATGTAAGCAATAGATAGAAACAGAAGGAGATGCTAGAAGTAACAGTATAATAGAAATGATGCCTTACTAGACTCATCTGTAGACTGGGAAGGAATAAATCAGTAAGCTTAAAGGCATATCAGTAGAGTCTTAGCAAAGTGAAATTCAAAAAGAAAAAAGGCTGTTTAAAAAAAAAACAGTACCAAGTCCAGTAACAATGGGACAATTTCAAAATGTATGACATAAACATTATAATACCAGAAAGAGAAGAAAGGAGCAGATGAAATATTTGAAGAATGGCTGAGAATTTCCAAAATTTATGACATCTGACCACAGATCCAGGATTGGAGCAGAGAATATCAAACAGGGTAAGTACCAAAAAATACTAAAGCATATTTTCTGCGAACACAGAAAACTGGAGACAAAGAGAAAATTTTGAAAACAGCCAGAGAAAACAATGACTTTACCTATAGAGGAACATAAATAAGAACTGCATTGGCTTTCTTATCAGAAACCATGCACAGAAGAAGAGAATCAAGTGAAATATTTAAAGTGTTGGGAATAAACCCACCCACGTAGAATTCTGCATCCCGCAATGATTCTTCAAAAGTGAAGGAAAACAAAGACCTTATCAAACAGACAAAAACTGAATGAACCTGTCATCAGTAAACCTGCCTTGCAAGAAATATTATTTTTTTAAGATTTATTTACTTATACAAGGTCAGAGGCGTGGGAGGGTGAGAGAATTCGCCAGAGAGAGCGGGGAGCAGATCAAGCAGATGGACCAAAGACACCGCTGAGGAAAGCAGCGCGCAAGACAGAAGAGGTCTGCCACGCCATGTGGGTTTCTCCCTGGCTGGCCAGGAATCGAACCCATGCTGCAGAGGCTGCGGACAGCTTCACAGCACAGTGCTCAACCTGCTACGCCACCTGGGAGGCCCACAAGAAATATTTTTTTAACAAAGTTCTCCAGAGAGAAAGAAAATTATATAGGTCAGAAAGTTATAGTCTCTGTATGAGAAGGAACAGCATAGAAGAAGGAGTACATAAAGGTAAAATAAAATCTATTCTTTTTTTATTTTAAGCAACTTAAAAGATAACTGTTCAAAGTAATAGTCGTAATATGTTAAGTAATTCTAATGTATGCATTAGTGAAATGAATGGCAGGAGTGTTATGTTAATAAGGAATAGGAGAGCTGATTGTCAAATGATTCCCATTCTCTACAGTCTTTACCAGAGAATAGTCATGTATCTCTTAACATTGGGGGGGATATGTTCTGAGAAATGCATAGTTAGGAGATGTTGTCATCATGTGAATGTCATATAGTGTACTTACACAAAACTAGATGGTGTAGCTTAGACACCACTGTCATATATGCAGTCTGTTATCAGAAATGTCATTATGCAACTGATGGCTGCGAAAGCAGAAGGAATACTTTGACTCATTTTATGAGAGCAACCTTAGCTTAACTCCAAAACCAGATAAAGACATTACAATAAAAAAAATCCTACAAACCAGTATCTTTATGAGCATAAATGCAGAAATCCTAAATTTTAGAAAGTCTATTTAATTAAAATATTTTATTAGAAAATTAAAATATTAAGAAATCAAATTTAGCCATGTAGGAATGGAATTATATAATGTGATCAAGTGGCAGTTATTCCAGCATCCAAGACTGATTCATACATTTGAAAATAAAT